TGGAAGACTTCATTTGAGAGAAGTTAATAAGAAAAAAATCTTCCTGCATAAATCTTTTTTAATTTTTTTTCCTGAGGTAATTCTAATTTACATTGTTGTTGACATTTTGAAAATATAGGATCTCTCTCCTCTTCCCTTGCATGTGCAGTTACCGTAGCACTTAGCCACCAAGAAACCCATAGTCCCCCATCTAGTAACAAATTTCTTTCATCTGCATGGAATTAGCTTTGTATCCATTAATGTAAAGGAATCTATCTATCGATCTATCTATCTATCTATCTATCTATCTATCTATCTATCTATCTATCTATCTATCTTCATAATCATCATCATCATCATCATCATCATCAATTATCTATCAATCAATCAATCAATCATCTATCTCTTCTTCACGCCATGTAGATCCCTCACTGAAGTGTCCATCAAAGGATAAGCAGGGTCTCCATAGCAGCTGATGACCTCTCTAGACCCCTCTGATGTACTATGTGACCAATGGAAAAAGGGAAGTTAAGGAGTCTTACAATTTCAAGATTAAGTAAGATGATAATATCTAGTTTTAGTTTTAGGCACCTTCTAAGAAGTATACAATTCTCCAATATGTGGTTATGACAACTTGTATTTGTAAATGCCTCCATAAATTGGCGCATTGATCGTAACAGAGTATCACTGTAATAGCATGAGACACTGAGTGATCAAGAGAGCTGGCAAGGGCAAAACCTGCACAAATTGTAGAGGGAAGAAAAGCAGGGGTGTTTTTCCCTGAGGATTATGCAGCAGAAATAAACTCTAGGGCATCTTTTTCCATAAGAGGAATAAATTCAATCCTCTGGGAATTGAAGATCTAGGGCCCAAAAGATGTGAAGCAAGAGGTATAAATAGATGTTCCAGATTTTCTACTTGTGTTTTCTACATATCCTTGCTTTTATTTTTTCTCCACTCAACCAGTGAAATATCTTCAGGATGTTAAAAAATATAGGTAAGCAAACTGAGTTATGCCTAGTAGAAAAGAAACCAGAAAAAAACCCAGAAAACTGCAGACATACTAATTATTTTTGGCATTGAAATCATCTTGCATTTTTTAACATTGATCTATAATGTGTGTCTTTAACTGGACTCCATCTGCATTTTAGTATCTGTTTGTGTTCTTTGAAGGGGATCTTTTGCAAAGGTCACAAATGTATTTAGATGCTTTTTAAGAATATGCTTATGCCAAAGTCATTTTTTTTATAGGAATATAGAAATGTTGTCCTTAGATGTATTGAATTTATATTACACTAGTTAAAAAACAAGGTTCACTCATTAAACAAGCTTAATAGTTTAAGATAATGTACTTTGTGAACATATATGTAAATATATGCATGTTTTTTCCTCATATAATGTACTGAATATTTATTGTATGTTGGATGCTGGGCTAGAGACAGGTTAAGATTGAAACTCAGAGATTTTTACCCCCTTCCAAATATAACAAAAACATTGTATGAGTGAGGGGGCAATAAATAATAAGTCTCCATTTCTAAGCCCAAGCATCTATCACTGTGCTGAGTTCCTAGTACCTTATAAAAATCAAATGACAAATTTGGGAGGAAAAATACCTGTTGATGTAATGTGCCCAGGATAAGAAAATGAACTGTGGTCTTTATGGACACCCTAAACCAGCTCAAAGTTCTGTTTTGTGGATTATAAACTCAAAGTCCAGAAAATTAAACTTGTTCAAGTAACAATTATTTTGGTAATTTTTCAAGCTCCCTAAACTCTTCTGTTTTATGAATAGAAATATATCTGATTTATACAGCAACCATCACAAAATGCTAATTTCAGAATTAGCATTTATTTATTTATTTATTTATTTATTTATTTATTTATTTATTTATGCGTACAAGAGCTGGGGTACAGGCCTGAGGTGTGGGGGGTGAGAGGATTCACCAGAGACAGAGTGGGGAACAAAACAGGCAGATTGACTAGAGTACACTGCTGAGGGGAGTAGCAGGCGAGCCAGGAGAGGTCTGCTGAGCCATGTGGGTAGCTCCCTGGCAGGGAATTGAACTCATGCTGCAGTAGCTATGGATTGCTTCATAGGTTGCGTCTTAAAGCTTGCGCCACCAGGGAGGCCCCCTAGCTTGTATTTGAATTGATAGTTATTTGTAAATATTTTACAAATGAAAACTGAACTTCAAATTGAGTAAAATTTTTAAAAAGATTTATTTATTTATGCATACAAGAACTGGGGTCTGGGGTATAGGCCAGAATTGCAGGGGGTGAGAGGATTCACCAGAGCCTGAGTGGGGAGCAGAACAGGCAGATTACTGAAATACACTGCTGAGGGGAGCAGTGGACAAGACAGGGCCACCAAGGAGGCCCTAAATTAAGTAAATTTTTAAAATGATACTGAGGCCAGATTATGACCTAGACTGTATTTGAATCCAACTCTGCATGGCCTTAAAATCACACAGCTTCTATTACCACATATTGCCTCTGTTCAAGTACTCATGACACAGTTAGAATATGTCATTAATGATATAGAAAAATGCTACAGGAACCTCAGGTTTATAAATTAGATATCTGCAGGTGATAATGTTATAGGTAAAACAAAACCAACTAAAAGAATAACAGATGGTGTCTCAAAAGATCACCAATACAGTTGAAAGAAAACCTACACATTTTTAAAAATTGTATTGATTTTATTGCTTATAATTTAAGGGTATAGGTTCACACCTCTTCTGATGGATAATACACTGCACAATTAATTTCAGTTACATGTTTAATAGTGAAACAATCAGTTTATGTAGTTATAATAGATACATAGACTTAAGCATCTCGATATTTTATTATATTATTTTTAAAGAATCACATGCCAACTTAAGACCTAAATGGGCTGACCGTTCTAAACTGTAACTCAAAAAACCTGCTCCAAACAGTTTACTCATATAAAATGAGAGTTCCGATACTCAGCACAACAAAGATAAAAGTAAATGAAGTAAAACTAAACTGTATAAATGGCAGGTTTACTGAACTGGAGTGGATTAAGGGATGAAGAGATAGTAATTGCATAAGTCAGTAAATAAGAACTTTATCTAGCTGTAGTGCCAGCAAGGCATAGGGCCGGTTCTCTATTGATTTGGGAGACAGGTAAAGGAGAGCCCTGGAGCCCTCAGTGGCTTTTTCAGGCTTTTAACGATCTTTCCATACCTTTTGGGGTGAGGCAACCAGGTCCAGAGCAGGCAGGGAGGTCAGGGGGCTGGCAGGCTTCCAGGCCCTGGCGAACTTCACTCTCTCTCGGCTCCCTGGCGCCCTCTCGTGGTCTCTCTGCTGATCTCTACTGCTTTCTGCCCCATGGTCTCCTGCCACTGCCCTCATAGGCTTGTCTCTAGGCTCAGGTGTGCCCACTCACGCATGTACTCGCCATACTCCAGGCATCCACCATCAGACCCAAGTGTAAGACCACGGGCGTCAGTCATTGATGCTAATGGCGGGAGGGCAGAAAAAACTGTCACTTCCATTTACCCCACACTACTCTTATTGGAGAATGGGAACTGAGGAAGCTTGGGAACCACCTGACATTCACTTATTTTGTGTCTGTGTCTCCATCCACACTTACATCTGTTTAGGTTCACACGCATATGCTGTGCATGCAGCCTGCCCTGATCTTGTATTTCCTAGCCTGTCTTTTCACCCAATACCTACTTTGTTTCTATCCACCTTCTTTGGAAATTATGGAAAACAGTCCTCAATAAATTTCCTCCCTCCCATTTAAGTTGTGTGGTCTGCTGTTCTATAATGTGAAGTCATTCTTTGCTGCTGTGGTGGCATTTGGAAATAGAAGGTATACTCTGACCCAAGTGAAACAGTATACTTTTTCCTACACCACATGCTGAACATATCCATTTAAGAATCCAACACATTGAACATATCCATTTAAGGGCCTCCCCGGTGGTGCAGTGGTTGAGCCCTGGGTTACGAAGCTGCCCGCAGCCTCTGCAGCACCGGTTCGATCCCCGGCCGCCAGGCGAGGGTCCCACATGGCGCGCAGACCTCTCCTGCCGCCCGCTGCTCCCCTCAGCAGTGTACTTCGTCCATCTGCCTGTTCTGCTCCCGGTTCTGGCTCTGGTGAATCCTCTCACCCTCCCGTGCTTCTGACTGTACCCAGTGCTTGTATAAATAAATAAATAAATCTTTAAAAAAAGAAAAGAAAAGAAACATATCCATTTAAGAATCCAATGTCATTGAAAATAGCTCAGCTTTTCAGTATTCATGCTACAAATTCAAGAAGTGCATTGATTAGAAGCCAGGAATCAATTTAATTCACCTGCATATTCCTAGTGCCTAGTAAAGATTTAGCATCAAATCAATGTTGAAAAGGATGCATCTACTATATTGCCTGAAATCTCATTTGTCAAAACTCAGTTCCCTCCCTCTTCTGTAAGCAACATCATTCAATTTCACAAGTATCTACTCTACTCAGGGATAGGCTCAGTGAAAAATTTCATGACTTTTTTTTTAATCTAACTTTATTGTTAGCAGCAGTAGTAAATGGTGGTTAAGATCAGAGCTTTCCAGTTTACCCTGATTTTGAATCAAGTGGGACTTTTAAGCAAGAGGCTTAAAAGTCAGTGGGATTATTCTTTTTTCATTTACAGGAATAATAAGAGTATCAATGTCATAGATTACTATAAAGGTTTTTTTTCAACAAGATATTGTAAAGATGTAATAAGTTATATATATATATATAAAGTACTATGGCATATAGTAAGCAATTTTTAAATGTAATCTGATTTTTTTAAGTTACAGATGCAATTCTTCCAAGGAAAGAATTGGAGCACAATTTTTTAGCTAATTAACCCATTTCATTGTCCTTTCATGGAGGACATAATGGAAACGAAATTCTGATCAAACATCATCCATCCTGAGGTCTATGGGAGTATTCCTGAATCTTTACTCAGTCCTGTGGTCTTTCATTAAAGGTCCCAGGTCATTAAAGGTCCTCGAAATATATGTGGCCATAGATGGCTTCTTCCTCGTACAATCACACTAATTACCAAGATATGTGGTACGTCCTTATTGGAATCCCAGGACTGGAAGATGTGCACATCTGGATTGCCATCCCCATCTGTTCTATGTACATTGTGGCCATTGTAGGAAATATCTTCTTGATCTTCCTGATCATGACTGAGCGCAGTCTCCATGAGCCCATGTACCTCTTCCTTTCCATGTTGGCCTTAGCAGACATCCTGCTCTCCACAGCTACAGCCCCGAAGATGCTGGCCATCTTCTGGTTCCATTCCATGAACATATCCTTTGGTAGCTGTGTATCCCAGATGTTCTTTATACATTTCATCTTTGTAGCAGAATCTGCTATTCTTCTGGCCATGGCATTTGATCGCTACGTGGCCATCTGCCACCCACTGAGATACACCACAATCTTAACCTCCTCGGTCATTGGAAAAATTGGCATAGCAGCTGTGGTCAGAAGCTTTCTAATCTGCTTTCCATTCATCTTTCTGGTATACCGGCTTATATATTGTGGGAAAAACATCATTCCCCATTCCTACTGTGAGCACATGGGCATTGCCAGGTTGGCTTGTGACAATATCAAAGTGAACATCATTTACGGCCTGACTGTGGCCCTACTGTCTACAGGACTGGATATAGTGTTCATCATTACATCCTATGCAATGATCCTTTGTACGGTTTTCCAGATACCGTCCTGGTCTGCCAGATCCAAGGCCCTTAACACATGTGGCTCCCACATCTGTGTCATACTTTTGTTCTATGCCCCAGCATTCTTTTCATTTTTTGCCCATCGCTTTGGGGGCAAAACTATCCCTCACCATATCCACATCCTAGTTGCCAACCTGTATGTGGTGGTCCCCCCGATGCTAAATCCTATCATTTATGGGGTAAAAACCAAACAGATTCAAGAGCGAGTGATTTTGTTTTTCTCCCCCATCAGCACCTGTTGTTAAAATGAAGAAAAATGCCAAACACTGGGTATTTCTAAATAAGACACATTTACACATAAGTTTGTCTTTCAGTGAAGAATAGAAATAAATAAAATTTATACAGAACTCTCAGATACACTTAAAAGGATGCAATCTTCCAAAGTTTCCAGCATGTTTTCCAAAATTAAAGATTTTGAAGGAAAATGTTTTAAACTGATGATGTACTCAATTATCCTGAGCATTCTATTATTTCCTGTCTAGGGTAGGGGAAGGGGAGTGATGAGTCATTGAACTTTTTTATACAGAGTTAAAATTCTGCTGAAATATATAAAACTCCCACTGCTAGCAGCAAATTGATGGAACAATAGCATAAAGTCACCATATAGTAGGGGGGTTTGTCTGCAACTGCTTTTTTTTTTTAAAGATTTATTTATTTTATACAAGAACTGGGGTACAGGTCAGATGCGCGGGAGGTGAGAGGATTCCCCAGAGACAGAGCGGGGAACAGAACAGGCAGACTGACTGAAATACTCTGCTGAGGGGAGCGGCCAGGGCGACAGGAGAGGTCTGCTGTGCCATGTGGGGCCCTCGCTGGCAGGCAGACAGCTTCACAGCGTGGCGCTCAACCACCTGCACCACCAGGGGAGGCCCTGAAACTACTTTGTAATTTAAAATGTGAGCTCTAAAATCAGTTATTTTCTGTCACAATATATACTTATTAAATTAATGGACACTATTGAATCAAAACAATTAACCCACCTGAAACTATACAGATAATGCAATATCTTTTTTTTCTCATGCTGGTTATTTTAGGCCCAAATCATCAGTGGGACTTCCTGATATCAAGAGAGACTTCTCTGAGGGACCAAGAAAGTAAAAAGTTCCATACCCAGCAGAAAAAAGTAAAGGCAATAAAGGATTTAGTAGGATATTTACACAGAATTTTACATAGAATGTTTCAAATTATCTGTAAAATTGTCTGCAGGCTGTATCTTAATTACTTAATATCACAAAAATATTTTTGCAATCTCTCCTCCAAGGCCTAACACAATGCTTTGAAAATGTGAAATCTGATCTTACTTACACCTAAAGAAAGACAAAAAATAAACTTTGTGGCATTATCTTGAACATTGGCAATCTTTTCATGGTAAGAGTATTCTTTCTATGTGTGTTGGATAATTACTTTGGCTTGTAATATATGTTATAGTCACTTTAATTTCAGCAAGGATATCTATTTTAATTAAGAACAAACTTTGATGTTAGAAATCCTGTTTGGACTATCTTATTCTAACTATATGAAACTGGATTGAAATTTAACTATTTAATATTAGGGTTTCAACTAGTAAAAAGAAATTAATACTTTTTCATTTCTTTTGATAATTAAGTTAAATATGTCATTTGAGGTAAATATTACTATTTTTTTTATTTTGACAATGATGGTAATTTTTTAAGAAGAGAACACTAAACAACCCAATTCACCAAACCAATTCACCTGCTGTTAATAATCCACACAATGTTCGGAATGGGTGATCTTCATAAAAGGGGAGTCATCAAATATCGACAAAAGTTGTAACAAGTAAGAAGATTTTGGTTCAGAGGAAAACTCTTCAAGGAATAAAGGATTGGGCCTTCCTGGTGGCTCAGGCGGTTGAGCGCAGTGCTGTGAAACTGTCTGCAGCCTCTGCAGCGCGGGTTCGATCCCAGCCGCCTGGGGACATAACCACATGGTGCGGCAGACCTCTCCTGCCTCGCCCACTGTTCCCTTCAGCAGTGTATTTCAGTCAGTCTACCTGTTCTGTTCCCCACTCTGTCTCTGGTGAATCCTCTCACCCTCCTACACATCTGGCCTGTGCCATGATTCTTGTATGAATGAATAAATAAATCTTTAAAAAAAAACCCACTTTTTAAAAAAGGAATAAAAGATTATTAGAAAGTAAATAGAGTCCAGCATGAAAGCATATTTGAATGGCATTTGTTTTAAAGAAGAAGATATTTTAATGCTTGATTTTGACAATGGAGAAATTAAAAAATAATGATTTCACATCTAGAAAGTTTGAAACATGATAGGACAAAAAAATTGGCAGTCTAAATTTTAAAGAATATTTTTTGGTTGAGGGCTCAGGTATTTGTTAAAATAAGTCAGGAGATTGCAATTTTCCTTAGCTGCCAAATATACATCACTGATGAAATTCTATTTTTCGTAGAATTAACAATGTATTTTCTGTATTATTAAGGTCAGTGTTACTAATTATTCAATGAAGGGAAGTATCAAAATCAATTTTTAAATATCTAAAAAATATCTTCATCCAAACATGCCAGGGTACATGAGGAGATTTTGTAATATTATAAAAGAGAGCAAAAAAAAAAACCCCAAAACAGGAAAATAATCCCAATTACAAACATGTCAAAAAGAATTCAATAACTTGGAATAAATTTAAACAAAGAATTGAAAGACCCATACTCTCCAAATTATAAGACATTGTTGAAAGAAATAGAAGAGACAAGGAAATGGAAAGGCATTCCATACTCATGGGTTGATAGAATTAGCATCATTAAAGTGGTTATATTGCCTAAAGCAACATACAGATTTATTGCAATCCCCATCAAAATTTAAATGGGGATAAGTGGGCGGAGCAACATGGCGGCGAGGAGAAGCTGCGAGTAAGATCTCCCATTAAAAAAAGTTAATAGGGAGGAAAAGCGGCAGGTCCCAGTGAGAACTGGGACACGGAAGATAAACGGATGACTCCAGCAAACTGCCCGAAGAAGAAAGTTGCCATAAAAGAGGACGAGAAGGGAGGGAAGCGCAGAACCCTGCTCCCCTCCCCCGCCCACAGAGGCGGCACTCTCCCCCCGGCAGAGAGGAGGAAACAACAAACCAAAACGGCCAACAAGAAAAACGGACACAGCAAGCGGGACTGTGAGTGGAAAGGAACTATTGCAGCCACCACACCCCGTGAACGGGAGCTGAGGCGAACCCTGCAGGATCCGCCGCGGAGGTGAGCTCCAGGCGCCATTAAAGAGAGCCCCGCCCCCCAGGAGGAGACCAGCCCCAGCACACAGCCCCGGCCGCCCGGCTGCTTGAAACTGACAGATGACTCCTGGTAGAACCAGAGGGGAACAGAGAAGCCCACCCAAGATGCCGGCCAGTCCCAACAACACAGTGTCCCAACACATACGGCAAATTAGAAAACAGACAGTAGGGAGGAGAAGAACCACACGCAACCTAGCAACTCTCCAGAGAAAAAGCACACCACAAAAAGAAAGCCAGCCCCCAGATTGCAAAGACAATAACTTGGAAGAATTTCTGAGCCTTCCAGAAAGAGAATTTAAAATTGCCGTGATTAAAAAACTGACAGAAGTCATAAAGGAAAACAATGATAAGGGAAAAATAATCAACGATCAGAAGAATGCAATTGAGTCCCTAGAGAGGGAAAACAATGGTCAGAAGAAAGAAATTGAGTCCCTAAAGAGGGAAGTAAAAGAAATGCAGGAGATCAAAGAATTAATGGAAGAACTAAAGAATTCTGGGAAAAGCAATGAAAGCAGAATAGATGAAATGGAAGAACGAATAAGTAATCTTGAAGACACAGAAATAAAAAGAACCAAAACAGAAAAGGAAAGAGAAGTACGAAGGAAAAAGAACGAAGAAAGACTTCGGGAACTATCTGACTCCATGAGGAAAGGAAATATAAGAGTTATAGGAATACCAGAAGGAGAGGAGAGAGATGTAGGAACAGAGAAAATATTCAAAGAGATAATTGAAGAGAACTTCCCAAATGTGAAGAAGGAGCTGAAAATTGATATACAAGAAGCAAGAAGAACACCAAACTTCCACGACGAAAGGAAAAATACAGCAAGACACATAATAGTAAAGCTCCCAAGAATCCAGGACAAGGAAAAAATAATGAAGCTGGCAAGAGGGAAGAAACAGATAACATTCAAAGGAAAACCAATCAGGCTGACATCAGACTTCTCCGAAGAAACACTACGGGCAAGGAGAGAGTGGAGGGACATAGCCAACAGACTCCAAGAAAACAGATGCCAACCAAGAATACTCTATCCCGCAAAGCTCTCCTTCCTCTTTGAAGAAAGAATATGGACCTTCCCAGACAAACAGAAACTCCGGAATTTCATTGCAACTAAACCCCCACTCCAAAAATACTACAAGGAGTCCTAAAGCCAGAACCTCAGAGGGACGAATAACAATGAAAGAAGGCCAAAAAAAAAAAAAAAAAGTTATTAAAAGAATAAATAAATAAAATCAAAGGAAAGACAAACACAATGGCAAATACAGATGTTAACATATCAATATTAACTCTAAATGTAAATGGACTAAACTCTTCAATAAAAAGACACAGAGTGGCAGCCTGGATTAAGAAACAAAACCCAACCTTTTGTTGTCTCCAGGAAACACATTTAGCTACAAAAGATAAAAATAGGCTCAAAGTTAAAGGATGGAAAACAATCCTACAAGCAAATGGACCAAAAAGAAAGCAGGAACAGCTATACTTATATCAGATAAAACAGATTTCAAACTCAAAAAGATAAAAAGAGACCCCAATGGTCACTACATTATGATCAAGGGGACAATACTTCAAGAAGAAATAACACTCATTAACATATACTCACCAAACGAAGGAGCACCAAAATATATCAGACAACTGTTGTCCTCTCTGAAAACAGACATCAGAGAAAACACATACGTAGTGGGAGACTTCAACACACCACTATCAACAATGGATAGATCAACAACACAAAAAATAAGTAAAGAAACCAAAGCTCTAAATAAGGACCTAGAGCAATTAGGCTTAACAGACCTCTATAGAACACTAAACCCCAAAAAAACGGAGTACACATTTTTCTCAAGCGCACACGGATCATTCTCCAGGATCGATCACATACTGGGGCACAAGACAAACATCAACAGATACACCAAGATTGAAATCATATCAACCATCTTTTCTGACCATGAAGGCATCAAACTAGAAATAAACCATAAAAAGAAGGCAAGGAACTTTCCT